GTATGTGTGTGAGCAGGAGTGTGTATGAGTGTATGTGCGTGCGTCGCGTGCGTGCGTGCGTGCGTGCGTGCATACGTGTATGTGGGCGTACATGTCCAATTTATGTTAAACATCCAATGTGCTGCACCAATGTATGTAATTGCCGAACCATATGTTAAAATATGTGGATGTATGGGCCAAAGGCCTTTCAAATCAATAAATCATTTTGAATTTTTGAATCTCTCTGTCTCTCTCTGTGTCTTTCTTTGTCTTTCTGTCTCTCTGTCTCTCTGTGTCTCTCTGTGTCCCTCTGTGTCTCTCTCTGTCTCTCTGTCTCTGTGTCTCTCTCTCTGTCTCTGTCTTTCTCTGTCTCTGTGTCTCTCTCTGTTTCTCTCTGTCTCTCTGTCTCTCTCTCTGTCTCTGTGTCTCTCTCTCTGTCTCTCTCTCTGTCTCTGTCTTTTTCTGTCTCTGTGTCTCTCTCTCTGTCTCTCTCTGTCTCTCTGTGTCTCTCTCTGTCTGTGTCTCTCTCTGTCCCTCTGTGTCTCTCTGTGTCTATCTGTGTCTCTCTCTGTCTCTCTGTGTCTCTCTCTCTCTGTGTCTCTCTGTCTCTCTCTGTCTATCTGTGTCTCTCTCTGTCTATCTGTGTCTCTCTCTGTCTTTCTGTGTCTCTCTGTGTCTCTCTCTGTCTCTCTCTGCCTTTCTGTCTCTCTCTGTCTCTCTGTGTGTCTCTCTCTGTCTCTCTGTGTGTCTCTCTCTGTCTCTCTGTGTGTCTCTCTCTGTCTCTCTGTGTGTCTCTCTCTGTCTCTCTGTGTCTCTCTGTGTCTCTCTCTGTGTCTCTCTCTGTCTCTCTGTCTCTGTCTCTCTGTGTCTCTCTCTGTGTCTCTCTCTCTGTCTCTCTCTCTCTGTCTCTCTCTGTCTGACTCTCTCTGTCTCTCTCTGTCTCTATCTATCTACCTACCTACCTATCTACCTACCTACCTACCTACCTGTCTGTCTGTCTGTCTGTCTGTCTGTCTGTCTGTCTGTCTGTCTGTCTGTCTATCTATCCCCCCAGGATCTGGATATTAACGAGGCCAAGTCTCGTATGGCGGACGCCGATTGGTTCCACGGCGTGTTGCCGAGGGAGGAGGTCCAGCGACTGCTGGTGAGCGACGGCGACTACCTGGTGAGGGAGAGCAAGAACAAGAAGACGAACGAGACGCAGTTTGTCCTGTCTGTCTTCTGGGCGGGACACAAGCACTTCATCATCCAGTACAACCTGGTGGGTACACACTCACGTACACACACATACACACTCACATACACACTCACGTACACACTCACGTACACAAACATACTCACTCACATACACACTCACATACACACTCACATACACACTCACGTACACACACATACACACTCACGTACACACACATACACACTCACGTACACACTCACGTACACACTCACATACACACAAGCACTTTATCATCCAGTACAACCTGGTGGGTACACACTCACGTACACACACATACACACTCACATACACACTCACGTACACACTCACATACACACTCACATACACACACATACACACTCACATACACACTCACATACACACTCACATACACACTCACATACACACTCACGTACACACACATACACACTCACATACACACAAGCACTTTATCATCCAGTACAACCTGGTGGGTACACACTCACGTACACACACATACACACTCACGTACACACACATACACACTCATGTACACACTCATGTACACACACACATACACACTCACACTCAGGTGCACACACACACACACTCATTTACTCACGTACACACACACATACACACTCACGAACACACACACACTCACGTACACACTCACACACACACACACACACACACTTCGTCATACAGTACAACCTGGTGGGTACACACTCACGTACACACACACACACACTCATACACACTCACGTACAGACACACACACACTCATGTACACACACTCAGACACACTTTATCATACAGTACAACCTGGTGGATACACACTCACGTGCACAGGCACATACACACTCACATACACACTCACGTACACATACACACGTACACACTCACATGCATACACCCTCACGTACACACTCGCATACACCCTCACATACATACACACTCGCATACACCCTCACATACATACACACTCACATACATACACACTCACGTACATACACACTCACGTACACACACACACGCACTCACGTACACACTCATACACACACACATACACACACACATACACACTCACGTACACACTCACGTACACATTCACATACACACTCACGTACACACTTCATCATATAGTACAACCTGGTGGGTACACACTCATGTACACGCTCACGCACACACTCACACACACTTTATCATACAGTACAACCTGGTGGGTACACACTCACGTACACACTCATGTACACACTCACATACACACTCACATACACTTTCACGTACACTCTCATGTACACACTCACGTACAAATTCACATACACACTCACATACACACTCACGTGCACACTCACATACACTCTCACGTACACACACACATAAACACTCACGCACACACACACATACACACTCATGTACACAAACACACATACACACTCACGTACACACACAGACACACTCACGTACACACTCACGTATACACATACACAACACTCACGTACACACTCTCACACACACATACACACTCACTTACACACTCACACACACACACGTACACACTCACGTACACACTCACTTACACACTCATGCTCACATACACACTCATGTGCACACTCACATACACACTCACGCACACACACACACATACACACTCACGTACACACACACACACACACTCACGTACACATTCACATACACACTCACGTACACACTTACGTACACCCTCACGTACACACTTACGTACATACTCACGAACACACTCACGTACACACTCACGCACACACTCACGTACACACTCACATACACACACATGTACACACTCGCATACACACTCACGTACACACACATACACACTCACACACACTGACAAACACACTCACGTACACACTCACATACACACTCACGTACACACTTACATACACACTCACATACACACTTCATCATCCTGTAGAACCTGGTGGGTACACACTGACCTACACTCTCACGTACACACACACTCACGTACACACTGGCAATACACGCTCACGTACACACACACACTTACCCACACACACACACACAAACACACACACACAGTACTCAGGGGCGGTCACACTCAAGTATACACTCACGTACACACATACACGTCATTGACATGTGTTCTCACCACTCATCTACATACAAACACACACACACACACACACACACACACACTCACACACACACACACAAACACACACACACACAAGCC